ACTTATTCTTAACATTAAGGTGAGGTTCTATCAATAATCTATGGATACTTCACCTGAAGTCGCCGCCCAAGCTGTGGCACTTATTCAGGCCGGACACAGCCAAAGAAACGTGAGTGCTCAACTTAATTGAAGTCGATCTGCGGTCCGAAATGTTTATCGGAGGTACCTAGAGACTGGCGGCTTTGTTCGTCGCCAAGGAAGGCCACGATCTCGGGTCACAACTGAAAGACCGGATCGATTCATCGTGACGACCAGCTTGAGAAATCGTCACCTTACCTCCATTGAGATACAAAACCAACTTCGCGACTTCCACGGAGTATCTGTGAGCGCTCGAACTGTTCGGAGAAGGTTAAAAGAACGCGATATGGTACCACACAAGCCAGGTAATGGGCCCAAACTAACGCGAGCCCACCGAACAGCGCGCCTTCATTTCGCACGCAGTCATTTAAATTGGACACAGCAAGATTGGAGCCGTGTACTCTTTTCTGATGAGTCTAAAATTGTGTTACATGGCAATGATGGAAGGAAGAAGGTCTACCGACGTAAGGGAGAGCGTTTCGCACAATGCTGCTTTGAAGAGAGGGTTGCTTATGGCGGTGGCTCATGGACTGTCTGGGGCGGTATATCCGCGAGCGGCAAAACTCAACTTGAGGTTGTTACAGGACCACGGCTGCCAACATTAAATGCTGAAAGGTACATTCGTGAGTGCTTAGAACCTCACGTGATACCATACGCGGACTATGTGGGCCCAAATTTCCTTTTTATGCATGATAATGCAAGAGCCCATGCGGCCGGCATCGTCAGGGAATATCTTCGGGATGTGAACATCACAGTTATGGACTGGCCAGCCAGAAGCCCAGATATGAACCCCATTGAGCACATGTGGGACGAGCTAAAAAGACGTGTTAGGGCTCGTCAGCCAGTTGCCCAGACGATGCAGGAGTTGAAAACTGCCATAGAAGAGGAATGGGAGATGATCCCTCAAAATTTCATAGAGCGGTTGATAAGCTCTATGCGTAATCGTATGAGAGCTGTGGTAGATGCCCATGGAGGCAACACGCGTTATTAAATTAAACCTTTATTTGATAAAACATGTTTTTTATTCAAAAATCAATTGCCTTTAACAAGGCGCATATCCGATTTGTTAGGCGTAGCTCCATGTCGTATGGTATTCTGAATTCAAATTTAAAACAATACGATCGAAAAAGATGGTAAAATGTATCAGGTTTAAAACTGCATCAACAGTTTTTGTTCAATCTAGCAATCATATTTCGGTAGGGGCCATCGGAACCTAAACTCTAAGGTGGGCCAATAGATGTGTCCAGAAGTGTATTATACCATTAAAAATCATTCATTCCTTCATTTAAAAATGGAAGCTAAGAAAATTCTACAGTCTATAGTTCTGTTGGTCTCGACGCCGAGTTGTATATAATTAGTCGAGATCGCATTAGATCAAATGCTGTTTGCAGTGATAAACGGTTGCTCCCAACCAGAATGAGCATTCCTAGTGATAATAACAAAAGGGGCTGAACGAGATAACCGATGTAGCCGAGCAGCATAGATACAATCTACAATCTACCAGTGACTGTTATATCAGTAACTGCAAAAAACATTGTACATTCTATCATATTTACAGTTACTATATGTCCAATCTTGCACACATTAAAATATCTGTAACGGTGAATTCTTTCAGTCTTAGTGTTAAAAAGTATGTTTGCACAAGACTTCAAATGCAGTGATAAGAAATGGTGTTTATGTAAGCGACATTTCGTAATTTTTTAGAAGCATGTTTCACATTTTAACTATTGTTTTAAATTATTTATGTCCTGTATTAAAATTCGAATTTAAAAATTAATCTTAATTAAAAATGAAATTTAACATTAAAACAGGATGTAAATATTTTAAAACTATCTTTAAAACCCAAAACAAGCTCCCCTCAAAAATATATGAAATGTCGCTTACGCCCTTTCTACAAGACACAATTTATCGATAAATTCCGTAAAAAAGTCATTCGCTCCCACAGGTCATAGCTCTTTCCCGATAAGTAGTAGTAAGATTGCATTGCAAAATTGTTTCCAATGTAATCAGAATTGTGCTTCATGATTAAATTATATAACTTTAGCCATTATTACAATTAGGTTCTAATATTTTGTTTACAAATACATCGCATCCTAAGACCCAGCAAACTACAATGGGAAAAGCGGTAAATGCCCAATGTACATTAAAAATTAAAATAACATGCTTTAGGCTCAGGTCCCAGATGCCCTCAGTTTTGTATTAAAAACATAAATTTTTCTAGATACCCTATAGTGATATAGAATATGTTGCACTACATTTGCATATAATATTTTATATTATTTAGTGCAACATATTCTATACCACCATAGATTATCTAGAAAAATTTATGTTTTTAATACAAAACTGAGTGCATACTTCATCCCTGTCCGGTATATCAGTACATAGGACCTAATTTGGTTATTATAAGTCATCAACAGGAAGAATCTGTTTTTTCCAAATTCATTGAAAGGCTTTTAACAATAATTCATGGTAATTATTTAAATGAAATATTAAAAGACTGTTGTTTGACTGCGGTTTTTTTCTGTGGATTATATATTTGAAGATTGACAACATAAAACTTCTATTTGCAAAAGTTCTGATAGATTAAATTACCATGTGGAACAAAAAACAAATGATTGTATTCTCATCTTGAACTTACAATTTTATTACCTATATAAACAATGGTATAGTAGCTACTGTGTTATATGTATGTCATTTGTATTCAATTTAATTTCAAAGCGATAGTGTTGTCTTGTCACTTTGAAATTAAATTGTACACAAATGACATTACATATCGCACCCCTAATGGAAAATATAACCAAAAAAAATATAACCCACATACTCTCCAATTCTTGTAACTTTATTGATATTGTAGACAGAGTTACAAGAATCAGAGTGGATGTGGGTTATATTTTTCAGTATCTAATGGAGCAATACACAAATTTGACATAACTCCACTTTGGTCATTCTTCCATGACGGGTGCGATATTATAATGCAATTTTTGAGAAAAAATATAACATAATGCAATTTTTGAGATGAGGGTCTTAGGTGTCATGTGCGAAATTTAGTAGCAGTAGAGCTACTTGTGAAAGAGTTCATCCAGGGAAGTACTGTCACCTTACCTATTTCTGCCACCAAGCAGTAATGTTAGCTTTACTGTGTTCTGGTTTTGAAGGGTAACGGTGCTGGTGAAATTATAGGTACATGAAACTTATCAACTTATGTCTCAGAGTGTCGGGCGCAGTGGCAGTGTCCATCAGATCTTTTGCGGTTTAAAGCTCCGAGTGGCACTGCAATTGTTATGGACAGGCGTGAGCTTACCATCAGGTGCACGACTTGCAGCCCCGTCACTTGATGTTATAAAAAAAAATATGTTTGAATAGATAATTTCAGAATAATCATAATCATAGAAAAATTGGTAAGAACACAAATGTGTGAATCGTAGTATGTTACTCATCATTGAGTACAAATTATTTAAAGCGATCTCAAAATAAATAGTCAGGCTTTCACAATAGGGCTTGAGAATATCAAAATAATGTAATCCAATAGTTATTAATTATAGGAATAATTTTTAGAACTTTTTTCTTTTAAATAAGGTTTTAAATTTAAACTAATAGTCTTCATAATTATTTATAAAGAAATTCTTTAAGCCTTTGTAACTAATTTTTACTCCTTAAAATTTGCAATTTTATATCATTTGTATTGAATATAACACTTTTAAATAATTTTTAAAATTAATAAAAGAGATATCTCATTAATAAATTTACAATTTATTGCTTAAACTCAGCCATTTTATTAGCAAAAATGACTTTATTCAACAAATCATAAAGATATTGGAACTTCAAATATTTTATTTTTGGAATCTGAGCTGGAATAGTTGGAACTTCTCTTAGTCTTCTTATTCATGCCGAATTAGGTAATCCTGGATCAATAATCGGTAATGATCACATTTATAATACTATTGTAACAGCTCACGCTTTTATTATAATCTTTTTTATAGTTATATCTATTATAATTGGTGGATTTGGAAAATGACTTGTACCTTTAATGCTAGGAGATGATATAGCTTTCCCACAAATAAATAATATAAGATTTCGACTTCTTCCCCCACCTCTTGCACTTTTAATTTCTAGATGAATTGTAGAAACTGGAGCAGGAACCGGATGAACAGTTTATCCCCCACTTTCATATTTATTATGCACTGTGATACCTACATATCTGCCTAATCATTTCACATTGATTATTTAGTATGTATCTGGATTGCTTTTTCTTTAAATACATTACATGTATTTAAAATTATTATTACTTGCTATAACAAATATATACTTTTCAATTTAGTGCACCAATTCTTATTTGAATTTTAAGCAATATCTTGAATCCAAACTAATGTTGTAATTGCGAAAGTAACTCTGTTTGTTACATTTTCACACCTAAATCGCTTTACCAAATTTAATGAATTTTGGTATAGAGATAGATGGGATCTAGGAGAAGGACATATGCTACTTTTTGTCACAAAAATAAATCTTTAAGGGGTTGAAAGTTTGTATGGAGAACCAATAATTTTTCGAAAATTCATTTTTATGACTTTTGTAAGAAATAAACAAAATAAAAATGTACAAAGTACAGTAAGCTACTCGAAGTTCTCTACTCGAATTCTATGATCTAGGCAGACTAAGTCGCAGACACCAGATAGTACTTTATAAGCAGACAATAACAATTAGGTAATTTTTTTAAATACATAAATTAGTTTTTAAAGTATTAAGTTTACAGCTATTTATTGTTACAATCATACGGTCTTAATTCATGAGATAGTATCGATTGTTAACCTACCACAACATAGTTGGCTGTAGTAGCAACAAAAAGTTTATATAAAAAAATACTATTACAAAAAGAATCAAATACAAAAAACGATAATTAGGACGAGACGTTTTATATTACTTACTCAGTCCGTGGGCTTCAACACAGTCCTTTGTCAGCACAAATAAAATAAGGATACACACAAGGTACACAACACTATGACACCGATTCATTGTAACACGAAAACTAGTTTGTGACATACTTAACACTATATTATATTCCTTACAAGCTATCAAACGGGCATGTTTTGTACTGAAAATAAAGTTTTATGTCCTAAAAAGGCACTGTACATAATTTTTCGTACGAACAACAGTCAACCTCCTCCACTCCAAACAAAAAACAAACTGACAGAAAAATACTTTGCTTCAAAGCTTGTGTCAAGCTTTGATGATGTAGTGCGAGTGAGCGAAATAGAAACAACAATCACGCGAAGAAGAAAGAGGACACAAAATTTATCGCTATGTTCGTATACACGCGTTAACTTTTTAGAGAAGAATGTTTAGTAAATTATTGTGCACCTTTCTTTTTGAACAGAAAACACAGAATAGTTAACGCATAACTCACTCATTTTGTGTAATCTTTATTAGACTATTTTCTAATCCATGAATTAATTACGTCACGTAATTTTAATCATATATTATCAATTGATTTAAAATAGAATATTGGTAACTGGAAGTCGAAGAAGTACCTTGCCTCGTATGAATATTTAGTACGCTATTAGTGACATTTTTTCGCGATTTGTGCGAGCTGTAAAAAATGTTCACTGATCATATTACTCACGTCGATAGTTTTATTATTCTACTTTGACATTATGATTATCACCATAACGTAATCGACGTGGAATTGCTCTGGGAGATCGTGCTTTATCACACTTGTCGCATTAAGTCCAGTAAAAAGTAAGGCATCACGTCCGGACGTCGCGCGTCGACCAACATCGCATATCAGCCGTTGCAGACCTATGACGCTCTGGGTCGGGTGTGGTACGAGTCGACGCGAAACACACATCTTTTTCTCTTTTATTACATGGACATAATGCTTTTTTGACTGGCTTAATACGATTTCGTATCGATAACAATGGTCACTCTCCTATTCTAAAATATACAACGTAAAGAAACGACATACTGTCACATATTATCTTAAACTTTATTAAAATCAATTTGGAACGATCATAAGGTATCGAATACTCGCAGCAGATCGTCTTTGGAAAATAAAACATTCAAAAGATTACCGCTTATGCTGGCAGCCGATTGTTAATGCACTATGTGAGTTGAACATTGCCGCACAAATTTCATACTTATACCACATTATAGTAATCCAACAGTGGTCACACGTGTCGCGAGTTCATAGAAAGTGCATGAAAGTTTAATGAGCAGTTTGTCGCTGGCTGCTTGTGGCTGCGTGTGTGGTATGGTTTTATTTGTGTAGAACGCCTGGTTCAGTCGTTTAGATTAGTTTAGAAGACGTTCATTCAAAAGCACAACAAAATTGACATTTTGTACCGTTCTAATCGCAAGCGACAGAGATACATAAAGGAGGATAGCGAAAACTGCCCCAATAACGACGAAGAGCCGTTCATGGATTTTGATAGTATAATTTTGCGTTTTAGTTTATGCCTAGTTATCAATATATTTTTGTATATTTTTAGAAGTCGGGAGTAAAGAAATTGTAAAACATTGTATTTTAGAATAGATGCAAAAACACAACGCAATTGATTCCGTTCGACCATAGATTAGGTAACGTGCTTGTACGTACATTTCATTTTAAGCATGATTGAATGACCTATCTGAAGTACTGGTTATTTTGTAGTACACACATAAAACATTAAAGCTATAAAATACCTAATGAAATAATCAGCAAAAAATAAAACACAATGTGATAAAAATATTAAGATAATATTTAAATGAGAGATAATAAAAGTTGCAAAGGAAAGTTTTGACAAGAGACCTCTTGTCAATGTCACATTGATATTGACAACAGAGTGACCATTTGTGACAGATTTCTGCCATTTGGGCAGATTTAATCTTTATTTATTTTCATTGCTGCAAAACGTGATAAGTTATATTAAATGAGGCAGAGTTTGGCAGATTTAAGCATATTCGGGAAGTTCTGTATTATTTTTGAGAACAAACAGAAAACTTGTTGTTTTCGGTTACTGCGAACAAACATCTGTATAGAAAGACAGGACAACGTTATAAACATAACCTATATCGCCTTTATAACCCCAGCTTCTACAGGCTGGACTCAATTAGCTTTTTGATGGTTTGATAACGAATCACAAGTATATGATAGGTCTCCTTAATGCACGTCAAAAACACTTGGTCTCAAAATACACGGAATGTCGCCATCCTACTTTAAATCTTAAAGAGTCACGCTCGACGTGCTTTTGATCATGATCAAAACAATATACATAATAGGTCTAAAGTTAACATACGACTTACGTATACTACATACGACGACTATGGCTACCATCGCCAATGAATAGTGGCATCTTCTCCTAACAAGTGCGCCGAGAATGTCAATATTAGAAACCTTCATAGTTTCTAATATTGACATTTTATTTAATCAACTAACACAATGTTTCATAAGCGTGTATCCAAATATTTTCAGTCTGACTTAGACATGGGGAATAGCGTTACATTTTTTATCGCCGTACTGTCGTTCCGGTTTCAAAAAATTTACGGTGATAAAACACCGTGATTTTGTCACGACTGTTACGTCCGTGACCTTGTCACGCCTATAACTTACATCACGATACACGGTTTTAGCCAGCGGCTTCTTTCTAATACTTATAGCCGTTTTTTATAGAATGATTTAAGTTTTTACTCCCTTTGTAATAAGTTTCAAATCCATTCAAAAAGTTGATCTTGTATTTAATGTAATTTTGTTTGTTACTTATTTAATGCGAATCTTTGGATTGTTAACAATAGCAATAAAGTGTAATGTAATTATATTTCTAGTAGAATACACAAAGTAACTTCCTATAATAAAACAAATACACAAAAATATTTTAGTTTGTTAATAAATAGGTTTATAGTAACTGCTGCAGATTTTTTTAATCCGCCCTTTCTAGTAGTAATAAGCACCTACGACCCTTGTAAGTGAACAAAGAAAGTCATCCTGTCTCACTCACTTCCATCGCCGAAATGGCCCAGATTTCAAGAGAACTACAACGAGTGGCGCGCTCAGTCACCACGTAACGGAGATCGCGCGTTGTATCAAATACGTATGTTGTGATGTGAGTGTCGGGTATAGCTATTGGAACGGAGGAACACCAATGTGACTTTGGAACGTCGTTCCTTCGGAACGAGTCACGGTGATACTGTTTGACGGCGGATCATCGTGATTTTTTCATCGTAACGTTATTTATCACCCACCTCTAGTCTGACTGACAGACAATCTGTTGGAAGTTAGATGGATAACATACTTTATTTTTTCCATCCTCTTAGGGTCGTATTCTAGAACTCTGCTCAATTCTCAAGTCAGGATTGCAATTGAAACACAAGCACTGGAAATACGACCCTAATGGCAGAGACTTGAGTATGATTTCTAGTGCCATACTATACATACATACGTAATCGTACTCAAATCCTGACTTGAGCATTGAGTAGAGCTCTAGAATACGACCCTTAGGGTCGGATTTGAGTATGATTCAAAGCACTCGAAATCATACTCAAGTCATTGCCATTAGAGTCGTATTTCCAGTGCTTGAAATCATACTCAAGTCCTGACTTGAGCATTGAGTAGAGTTCAGGAATACGGCCCTAAGGCATACGGCGATAAAACGACGGAGCCATAAATACAAAAGTTGAAGTTGAAGTTGACTTTCAGTAGCGATGTTCCCAAATACTTACTTTACTCTTTGAGCGATGTAAACGCGCGTTCGTGAAACGCGCGATTGCATCGATGCAAACGCGCGACTGCATCGATACAAATGTGCGCTTGTATCTCTGCTTAAAAAAAGGTAGACGATTAGCGACTGCATCGCGTTTGCATCGCCGTTTGTAACCACTCTAAGGGCCGTATTCCAGAACTACTCAATGCTCAAGTCAGGATTTGAGCAGACTTGAATAGCGTTTGAGCATTGAGTAGAGTTCTGGAATACGACCTTTACATTGATTCAGTAGAGTTAAACGCATAGTAGACTACTCGATTTTAAGGACCCTGCGTCAAGGGTGAACGAGGCCCATCGAGTATATATAACTGCGGGACCCCCTAGTTAGGGCACTGCTCTTATTAATATAAATATAAGTCGCCCTAATTAGCGACCCTACCTCTTAATACACCTGAAGTTAGTGTCCCTTAAATTCGTTTAGTTTAATAAGCGTTTTATTATATCTTTCTAATTTATGGCTAGTACCCCGAGTATGATGTGCCAAAGTCGACATGGTATCTATTCTGTTGTGGCGTGAAGGGAATCATACCATACCATTCATGTCTATTGCAATATTTTAATTTTATTCAATATCATTCTAGTGGTGTTCATGTTGTTGTGTGAAACAATTTACAAAAAAATGTTTTTGAACATTATTTATTTACTGTAACTGGATGATCTCACTGCACGAAAAAATAGGCATTTGCTCCATTCTTGTCACGCTGCTTGCATTAGCGCTGGACTGTTTAACCTGGTTTAGAAGACGCTAATGCTTTAATAATATTGGCAAGCTACCTAGTGTAAACAGTAAGTCGTCTGACGACCATATATTTAAAAAAATATATTTCATGACTTTGGATTCAAGTCCCTTGGTCGAAATATTATTACTCATAAACCATCGAGGATATAATCAGAAATAGAGAAGAAATAAAGGCCATACGTCCCTGCCAACTAATCAGGCAAATGGGCCTTAAATCACTTTTAAGTATCAACTCTCGTTTGCGCTGAAACCACAAATTAGAAAATTAGAAATAGTACAGCGCCAACAACTGACCTGTGTGTACGTCTCCGTATGTTCTAAAAATATTCTGTATTTATTGTAATTGTAATAAAGATAATATCTCTAATTATGGGAGGCTGTTCCATTCGGTGGTGTGGGAAAAAACAGCAAAACATCTAATTACAAAACAAACGGAATCACATTTCATCGGTAATTAAATATTAAAAATGTAATTTTTCAATTTTCGTCCACTATAACAAAGCACAAGTTAAACTGGTCGTCTTGAAGTGAAACAATTGACGAAACTTGTCAATTGTTTCGAATTCGGGCTGGCCAATCGGAGCGCAATTGACACCGTAATCGAATTAATAATAATAATAATTATATTTAATGTTACCGTATCCGGAATTAGCCAGATCTTATGCATAGTAATATAGTAACTTATATTCTGAATTGATTTATTTATTTTATTAGGGACAACATCAGCTTACTATTGCAAAGTTAAATGATATAACAACAGAACAAAGCCAATCAAGTTGTGCTCAAATTACATTCGAGAATGAACTATAATGATTGGACATTAAAATTCCAATAAAAAAATGTCAACCACTGGGTCACCGTACATTCCGTACCTGAGAAGCATTACACTGTATAACATTTAGAATAGCTTGAAATAAAACTAATTGAGTTTTAATAACATTTCGAGCTATCCTAAATGGCGTACAAACTGCTTTTCGACACAAAATCGCATCCCCCATAAAATTACAAAAATGGCGCTTACCTACAGTGCAATATTTCTCAGGTACAGCATTAGAACTAGGATTAAATTATATAAATAAATTGTGTAATGCATGGTGTTACCTCATTTGCTACTGCAACACCATGTAACACCATGCTCCATGTTAGGTGACAGTGTGACCTGGCTCTCGTCTTATTAAGACTAGTAAGGCTATTCAAAGAGTATGAATTCTTGTATTTGCGTTACTGTTTTAGAATACGTATAAAAGACCATGTCTCACCATATCTAGTCGATAACAAACAGCTTGGTATGGCCAATTCTAGACTATTAAAATTAGCCTGCTTTGTACGTACAATCTAGAAATAAGTTTAAGGTTCCTATTTACCTTTTTAAAAAACTAGTACCAAAATGCAGTATTTCTTGTTTGGCACATTCGGGGTAATATTTATAAGCTACCTGTCTACACTTTGGTGGGGACTTCGGGTTGTTTTAAATACGCCGCTATCAAGGTGTGATCTTCCCCTCCTGTGCGAAACTGTCATATTTCCTCATTGCGCACTTTCCGTATGAAATGTTTTAACTGGTTATTATATAGGCAAACGCAGGAGGTAGGCATTGTAGTGTAGATGTGTGTGGATAGTGCTCTGTGTGTAATACTAATATCTGTATAATATCATGATTCTGTGCTAAGTATTTAATAATCTGCTAGGAAGTTGAAACTGGAATGATATGTGTGTTAGTTCTTTTTTTTTAAACATCGCGGGCTGTAGCAGAATGTCAGCCGCGCTGAGAAACACTCCGCCATCACTCACCACTATTGTTTGGTACTAAATTATGTTTAAAGTAGCTTATTTATTTAGTGATGTACTGAGATAAATAAACGATTTAAATATTATTATTATTATTTATTATTATTATAATTTTCCATTGTATCACAACCACCATACCAGAATGTTGTTGCTTATCTGCAGAGTTGAAGCACGGTGTAATACAGGCTTTTTCTTAACCTATGTCGTGGCACCAGTCTCTGACAAACTAGCAGGCCCGACTTTGCTTTCTTCTATTAGTCCTGTTTTGTGATGAGAAAAATAAAAGAAATATTTCATTTCATTTCAATATTGTTATGCAGATAAGGAAGTTCTTAACTTACCGCTAAAATCTGGTCCGGAGTCGATGGATCCGCCAGGGCCCGGCAGCTCGCACTTCGGAGACGAGAAACCCAAGTCGCAGTGGCAATGTCCTGCGCCAATAAAACACATTTATTGTATGTAACAATATAGTTAAATATAACTTATAACTCTAGTCAGGGCTGGTAGCTGTAAAGGTATCTAATTGGGTGACGGAATACTTAAGATTTCTTATGGATGGCGCTACGCTTAAAAAGTCGTTAAAAAACCAAATACATAGACACGACAACAAACACATAGAAGAGTTTCGTGGCTTAGTTGGTATAGCGTCTGACACAGTATGCTAGAAGACTTCGGTTCGAATCCGGCCGGATCGAAGTATTTTTTTCTGAGTGTTCGATCTTTGTATTAATAATTATAACAAACTAGTGGAGTAATTTCACATAAAAAATAATTGAATATCAATTCAACAAAAAATTAAATATAACTTTTTTTATAAAAAACAGACTTCAAAACTTTGTTTGTCCGCTTTCGCTGTGCGCGTTGCTGCGTAGTCGTAAGTCCTCGTCAAAATGAATTATACGAGCCCAAACACAAGGTAGCTGCTGAATACTGTTTTTTATGATGTCAAGTGATGGGATGAACAAACAAGTCGTGCGCCTGGTGGTAGTAATAATAACGCAACACACTCATAACACCGCACTAGGGAAAACCTGTGTCGCGGGTGCCATGGACCACACATAGACAACCACAAATTACACCCAATCTCACGAGAGAAATAAATGTAGGCCATACACATATTACTCCCGGCCTGAGAATCGAACCCAGGACCTCTGCGTAGCAGTCCGACATGAGACACCTTTCGGCCACGAAGGCAGTTCAAGGTAAGCGACACGCCTGTGCATAACAGTTGCAGTGCCACTCAGAGCTTTAAATCACAAAGATCTGAGGAGCACTGCTACAGCGTCTGTCACCCTGAGACATAAGTTGACAAGTCCATGTGACTGTAATTTCACCAGTACTTTTACCTTTCCTTCTTAAAACCGGAATGCAGTAGTGCTCACTAAGCTTGAACACGGAGTTGTATATTAAACTGGACCGCGCACTAAGTTAATAAAACGAGCCGAATGAGAGTCTTCAAAGTAGTAATGCGTCTCATTCTAATAGGGTGTTCATGCACTTTTCAGCCAGCCATATTGTTTTTATGCTTACGCTTATGGATGACCATAACTACTAATATTATTTCATAACACAAATTAGTATACTTCTTTGATATGCTACTTCATAACAGAAGGTTTCATTGTTGATACATTTTTTTTTGTATTATTACAGTAAAAGCATATTACTTTTAAGCAAATATATTTAAACAAAATTTAAAAAGTTAATAGACTAGACACTACCTAAGAAGATTTTATTTAGCGTTGGCAACTTATTAGACAACGACAGACCACTATTTCGAACTATCTCACGCGCTTCGGTTTTTTACATTTACTTAAAATAAACCTTAACATAACCCAATAAGGTGTAAATTTGTAATATTGGTATATCGAAGAGCGCGATCCAGTTTAGAAAGTATATAAATCCGTGGGCTTGAGCAGTTCATGAACTAAGAACTGTTAAGAATGAATGGAAAGGAACTACTTCCTTATGCACGATCTTAATAGTTCACCTGTCTTTTAGTTCAGAAGGAATGGGACCTGTTTGCGGAACCACAGAGCAAGGCGATCTTAATAGGTCACCTGTCTTTTTAGTTGTTTCAGCTCCCAGATGCGCGGCGAGAGACTTCGAACGAGACAATTATTGGGCTATCATTGCTTACAGTACAAGTTCGAGTGAGATGCACGATTGGAACTTGCCAGCGCGTTTAAGATTAAAATAAAAATAAAAATAAAAATAATAAATTTAAATAAAAATTTAGATTTCAGTAAGACTGAAATATTAACTTATAAGTATTACATTAAACTTGTTTCATAGATACTTTTATTTTCTTTATCAAATTTAACACACTTACATACCACGTGTAAGTATACATTTTATACTTAAATACATATTAATAAGCATACCTATATAAAATAACGAACTCAAATACAACAAATATATATATGTATTTTTTAAATAAAATTATAACATATTATAAAATTACAAACAAAATAATTGTAAATATAAAAAATCTTGTTTCATAAAATTATAGCAAAGAGGGAAAAAAATAAAATATTCCTACTTAAATCTATAAATCGTTAATACAGATCATTTCATTCCGTGTCTTCCTAGTCCTTCCTAATGCCCAGATCCCACTGAACTAAGGAACTAAAGGAACTAAAAGACCCAATTAGTTCATTTGTCCGAATGGACTAATTGGGATCCCTCGCTCTAAAGACAGAGTAGGTACAAGTCTAATGCTCACATTACTGCTTGGCAGCAGAAATAGGTAAGCTGCCAGTACTTCCCTGGGAACTGTGAATTGCTTTCATCAGTCTGCCATTTCCGTCATCAGATCAGTTCTAGGACCTAGAATCTATGTCATCGTAACATTTTATTTTCATTGGAATTATGGGAGAGTGAGGTACTGCAACTCAACTAGCGACGAGATGCCCTGTCCCCTCAAAGAAAAAAATGAGTAAACTGTTTTTTACCTTTGGAGTTACAAACGCCGTGGCCGCTGCAATCGGACGGGCATTCAGAATTCTCCATAGCGGCGATGCTGTCGCGCACTTGTTGTATTGGCACGCAGCGCTGTTTGTAGCACATCTGTGTAATAAAAAAAAATTATCAGACAACAAAGTCCATATAAGTTAGTAACATGATATATTAGTATTAGCATATACTATATTATACTATATACTATATTATATATATACTATATACTATATTATATATTATATTATATACTATATTAGTATTAGCATTAGCACAGTGCCTCTACCACGAGTTTACTGTGTTGTCGCTAGCGCCCGCGTAAATTACTTCACAATTTTGTATGGCAAATTATACAGCGCCCCTAGCGGTCGCCAGCGATAACTGTCACTATAGCATCATGGTAAAGGCACCGGCACATTAAAGTCACCCTACAAGCTGACAAATTACAAATATATATAGCAAACTCTATTAGATAATGATATAGGTTTAGAGAGCTAGCATTCACAACTCAAAGTCTTTGCTCCTATTTTGCTTGATTTTGGGAACTCATCATCATCATATCAGCCGGAAGACCCGCTGACCTGACCAGGTCATTCGTCCATCTAGTAGGGGGCTGTCTCACTGAACGCCTTACGGTTCGTGGTCTCCATTCGAGAACCTTTCTGCACCCTAAGGCCGTCATTTCTACGAGTTAAGTGCCCTGCCCACTGCCACTTTAACTTACTAATCCTTTGAGCTATGTCGGTGACTTCCGTTTTTCTACGGATCTCCTTATTTCAAAACTAGGTGACAATAAATAAGTAAATAAATAACAAGGCAGAAACATCACACATGTGTGTGATGCCGACCTTCTTCATAGTCATACCATTTGTTTTATCACCCTTTTTACTGGTTCCTGGCTACTTTTAAAATGTTCAAGCTTTCGAATTCCTTTTCCTTCCACTATTCCTACGTTGGTTCATTCCGTCATCACTTCCGTCAAAATTCTCAAAACGAGAGGACGTGCTATCATCCCCATGTAAAACATAAACTACTATTTTAAATCATTATGTGTATGTATATAGGCATTTTTGGGGTGTGTCTAGATTGTTTAGTAGGGAATGATTTATATTATTTTGTTCTTTTTCATATCTTTTTATTGTTGCAGCCTTTTTGTTTCTATAATCTGTTTTTTCAAGACGGAGTAAAATGACGTTTGCAGGGTTGCCAGTTTTCGGAAAATTTGAAATAGTCGCTGTTGTAGAAGGCAAAATTTTGTGGTAAATATCTGAATTGTTAATGTTACGAAGTTCTAATGATTACCAATTGCGTTATTGCCTTCTTTATTCTTATTTTGATAGTTGCCCTACTTTATTAAGAACGGGCGGATTTAATTATCTATACTGAATTAAAATGAAAAACTTCAAAATATGTTTCCTCTTTGTATTTTCAATAGATGAAGTTACAAAAAATGACAATTCAAATGAAACAAGTTCAGTTATTTATTGTATAAACGTGACCAATATTCAGTCGATAGTCGATAGAATATTTATCGACTGCAATCACTAGCTGTTTGCAAGCGGGCAACACTTTTGCGCTATGAACTGTCATGTTATTCCATCTTCAAAAAAGACAGACTACTTGTAAATATTTATAAATAGACCGGGCCTTTTCTTTCCTTTCGCTAATGCTAGGCCACGCATGAGTGCACGAGGAAGTCCACCAACAGAGAGAGACGGCGAGATATAGTAAGGGCGCGTCCCATTATGTTGTAACGTGTTATTTATCGTTGGACGACTGTCGCGCCTAGCCTGTTCCCATATCACGACTATATGTCGTGGCTGTGTCGTGGACGTTTATTTTATCGTTGAACATCGTGTCTAGTTGTTCCCACTAGATCGTGACGACAATTCATAGGTTCACGGCAGCTGCCTTGTCGTTTGCACGACAGAACCGTTTGAAGCTCAAGAGTGCTACGAAAAAGAAAAGAAAATTCTGACCTCTTAATTATCGTACACTCACCTTTTGATCTCCACACTTGGCCCCATCCGGAACAAGACCGGGATCGACGTCGCTCAGCCCGAGGTCAATGACAGCTGTACGGCATGGAATTATTGTACCTGAGAAATTGAATTAAACCGGGGTTCAACAAATTATTGACACGGTCCGTTTTCGACTATTCCTCTAAGATTTTTCGATAGCATATTATTAAATTCCATATTTTAAGCTAATGTTCATACAAGTGTTTTAACATAATTGAGGATAAATATTTTTGTTTTATAAGAGATATTCGGCTTTCGTCATAATTTTTCCGCGCATTCGACGACCTTATTGGACCAACGGTTTGCACTGTGGGCACTGGATGAGGAGGTCCCGGGTTCGATACCCAATAGGAGAAGTTCCGGGTAGTGCCACAGAGTGAATTCCATCACAGTACAGGAAATTCCCTAGTTTGAGACCAGGTAATTGGCATAGTATAAATAAGACAAGTAGGGTAACTCGATATAAATGCATTAGCGCGGCTTGTATGTGTGCGTGCCCGCCGCGTGTCGTGCAAGGACGCACACATTCGCCCAATTTCACGATGCAATTGAGTTACATAACACTGGTCGTCCCAAAGCGCCTTTCATTATTATGCGAACGTATGCGTTTGTGCTCGGGGCGCGGTGGGCGCCACGCTGTTACTTTGTACAGAGTTACCATGCTTCTCTTATTTTGTTGATGTGGTTGTTCGGCACATACTGAAAATAGTCTTAAAGTATATTCTATTGACATTTTTTTCCACATATAGCGCTGTCTAAAACCAGAGTTCGAAATTATGTACATAGATATTTTCTTAGATAATTATTATCACGATTATTGTCTGATAATTATCCGATTTATGCATATACGACAGTTATCCATGCTGATTCTTAGTTTCGTTACTTTAATTTTTGGCTAAAAATTACAAACAGTGCAATAACACGAAGAAAAATCTTTGGGAAAGCGATTTGATTTTTGACTTTTTTTAGATTGACATTTGACACGTTTGGATACGTCTCTGATATAAAGACTTGATATAAATATATACTTGGATATAAATCTCACAGGACATTGGCGAAATCGCCATTTTTTTTTTGTATAATTTTTATAATAATATTAAACTACCGTACATAGTTATTTTTACTTGACATTGGCAAAATCATTGATTATTTCGATGGAGCCATAACATTTAAAAGAAGAAGAAGAAGAAGAAAGACTTGACACGTCATTGCTAGCGGTAGCAATTGTTGTACTAATTATTTTTTTATAAGCATGAAACTAAAATTATCAATGTATATTTATCAAGATACTGACGAAATAAAAAGTTTTACCATTGTTTTGAATTAACACGGTCGATAGAACAGCGACGCTCTCCATCCCAAATTCGAGTCTCTCGTTGAGGTGTCTGCAGTGTAGCAAGCCGCACGTAGCGTCTTCAAGGGAGCATTTGTGGTATATTGACTGCACGCGATCGTAGCCGCAGTTGCCCGCTCTGTTATAAAAAAGGTAAATATTTCGTGTTATAATTATTAATAGAAAGATACACTAAGAAAAATTCCTTCGATCCGGCTGGATTCCCAACTCCCAACTGAGCCACGGAACGCACCATCACACCTAACGAATTTTTACTTATCGAAGGCATACACTATAATGCTTGCCATCGTGGTAAAACGATTTGTCAATCGACACAAGGTAGGTACTTGTCGATTGTTGGCCAGGGTGCGCCATAAATACAGGAAAGGAATGGTAAGTTACGTACCACGTACCATTACATATGTACACGCATATACATGAGATACCTGACCCCCTAACATGCCCAACTGCCTCCGTGGCCGAACGGTTACCATGCCGGACTGTCCCAGGTTCGATTCCCGGGCCGGGAGAAATGTTTGTATGGCTTACATTTATTTCTCTCGTGAGTTTGGGTGTAATTTGTGGTTGTCTATGTGTGTGTCCATGGCACCCGCGACACAGGGTTTCCCTAGTGCGGGGCTATGTTGAGTGTGTGCGTAATAATAAAAAAATTCGACCTTTTGGTTCTGAGAGCCATCTTACGTATTGAACAAAGAAAAAATTAAAGCAATTTCAACTTTATTGTATAAGCAATACAGTCGAGTGTTACTTGAAGTATTTCAGTACGAAATATACGTTAAAGATCAAATTGGATTAAAAACTTTCTTACAATGTCATTCACTAATGAGACGACCAGGAGTCATACCAAAATAAATTTTACGGCTCACCTTTAAAGATTAAGTTTGTTTAACAATTTTTCAAATCGGAATCGATCCGATCGAGTAGTCTCGAAATCAGATGGGTTTCTGAGCGAGAAGATGAACCTGATTCCTACTATATCTTTCTTATTTGTGAGTTAAATCAACTATTGTTCCGATTAGAAATGTCAAAAGTTTCCGATCGGCCAGTTGTGACTCGCACGTATGCGCCACAACTCCGAAAAGACGCAGTTTCCGATCGGGAGAGGCAGTCAAAATCAAGCTGCAGGTATCTTGTGTATATGTGTGTTCGTACCATATGTGGTAGTTGCAGTTCTTTTTATAGGTTTTAACGACTTTTTTTCCGTAACGCCATCTGTAAGAAATCTACGAAATCTTTTCTTCACTCAACCAGGTACCTTTGCAGCTACCAGAAGCTGACTGGAGATGTTGCTTTAATGACTGCAATAGTAAGTTTATGGAATATTGCGATGTTTTACTACCATAGACGCTTACCGGTTACCCTTAATATTGTTTCCGGAGTAACACTTCTCGTGAGAATCCTCGCCCGTAGTGCCCCATAGTAACTGGCATTGGTCCGTGCGCGAACGGCAGGAACCTTGCATGCAATACGTCTGCGTAAAAGCAATATCATTAGTAAATGAAAGATTTAACAAAGCTTCTGTAACTATGGCATAATTTCTCGTCGTCCAGCCATTATTAAATTGTGAAAGAGTTCGTCCAGGGAGATACTGCCACCTTACCTATTTCTGCCGTCAAGCAGTAACGTGAGTATTACCAAGTTTCCTGACCAGAATATCATAGTGCATACACTCAAAATCCTTGGAAAGGTCACAGAATACACCAATATCACAATGTGAGTCTTCCCACGCATCAAATATGTTTTAAACTCAACACCAACATCAGTTGTAGAGCGGCCCCGAGGGAAACGAAATTGTTTAAGATACATTAAATTATTATTGTAAAAATGTGCACACTGATTTAAAATATTTTTTTCAAATATTTGCCTGAGATTTGGTAGTATTGAAATAGATCTTAAAATCAAGTTAGTCAGTTGCTTCATGAGGTCAGGAAACATCATCATCAATACGTTTGTTAAAAACACAAGCTAAGTAGGGTGCAATACAATCAACTACATAATTAATTACTTTGACGTAGAGACCTTCAAGATCAGCAGTATTTTTAATGTCGTTTGGAAATACGTGACGAAACTTTAAATTAGCAAGACTAACTCCAATATTTTCTTTAAGTAAGTATAGCTAGCCAAAAATAGTTGTTTTAATTAAAATTAGAATATACTATTTGAGAAACCGATATCCAAAAAAACAACACAAAGGTGGCGACGGCAGGTGAACAATAAAACGCAATCGAGCAGAGCTTGCTCGAACGAACTACTTTTATCTTTTGTAGAGCTCCTTGTGAAAGAGTTTGAAGTAGGAAGTACTGCCACCTTACCTATTTCTGCCGGCAAGCAGTAATGTGAGCATTACTGTGTTCCGGTTTTGAAGGGTAAGAGTGCTGGTCAACTTATGTCTCAGGGTGACGGAGAAAGTAGTAGTGCCCCTCGATATTTGCCATTTAAAGTTCTAAGTGGCACTGTAACTGTTATGGATGCACAACTTGTTCGACCCGTCACTTAGTTGTTATAAAAAAAATCGTTAAAATAGAGGGGGCAGCTAATTGAAGGTTGACCCGGGCAGCAGAAATCTTCGCTACGCTACTGAACGTAGGTCATCTGTTTTGGATTTGTTTTCGTACTCATTATTTATTTATTTATTTAAACTTTATTGTACACGCCTGCACATCAAGCTACACATTGACGTATCTTGTTCCGTTGCACTGGAGGCGATTTTTGAACAAAAATGTGTAGTCTGATGTGCCTTTGTCCGTACAATATACTGAAGTACAAATGGCAGACTTAATGCCATAAGGCATTCTCTACCAGTTAACCATTGGGCCAAACAAAAAAAACCACAATGGTTGGTGCTACACTGAAACAAGAAGAACAGTATACTAGAAGCTAATCGATAATTTGTATCGTACAAAGTGATAAACATAATATAATATAAACATAAATATTATACATACATAATTATATATATATATATATACACACGTGTGTGTGTGTGTGTGTGTGTGTGTGTGTGTGTGTGTGTGTGTGTG